GAGCTCCCCATAACAGTAGCACGCTTCTGTGCACAAAGATAGCCCTCCCTGCCAAGGGACAAGGAAGCAAAGGACAAGGCAGTCCCTTCACACCACACATGGCTGGGCTCTTAGAAGGGGGGGCTTCGGCAATGCCTAGGTCCTCTGCCCACCGTTCTTCTGCAATCAGTACTCCTGAACCAGAAATACTGGGATGGGTTGTTAAAAATGTAGACATCTGTCTTCCCTTCCCACTCCAGACGTGGGCCCAGGGACGTGTGTCTCTAACCAACTCCATGGGCCACTCTGTAGCAGCCAACCTGGCTGGCTGTCCCTCCCTCTATCACTGGGCAGGCTGGGGACCTGATGCTGCCCAGTCCCTTCCAACTCGCGGCGTCAGCACAGCGTGCTCGTTGCTGGGTCTTGAAAGTAACCCACCGGGTCTTCCTGCTGAACTGCTCTCTGTGGATTCAAACCTCCATGGCTTGGGTGAGCAGCCAAGCACACCAACCGTTTGAACCACACAGGGACTCCAGGAGCCCGGAGTAGAGGAGATAGCCACACACAGGGAATGCCACAACCCATGCCCTTTGAGAAACGTGTGTGGAAAAGCCCAGGATGAGGCCACACTGCTTGCCCTCACCACACGGGTCCGAAGCCGCATCTGAGAACTCTCTCTTGGTTGTATACAGACCTGTATCAAAGGACTCTCTCGGTTTTGAACCTGTATCTGAGACCTGTGTCTGAGGACTCTCTCTCGGTTTTGAACCTTCCACCTGGTCCCATCCCCCATCTACAGGTTTGAAGGTCAGTCGCATTGTTCTCAAGGGTTTTCTGGGGCTGCCATCCTGGTGTTTATCTCTAATATTTCCCAAAGCCATCTACTTTGTGGCAGATCCTGTGCCGAGAACTCTACCTGTCTTACGTCATCTACTGATCAGGGACAATAAAGGGCAATACAAAGTGGGTCCCTGCACCCCACATTGGGGCATTCCAGAAGGAAGTTCAGCCCAAGGGCCAGTGCTGGACACATCCAGGAGTGTTTCTTGGCTCCCAGGCGTGGACTAGACCACCGATGGAATGGCCCCTCCTGGGACACTTGCAGGGACCAAAAAGCCTGGGAGGAGGGCTGAAAGATGACCAGTTACTCCCCTCAGGGCCCACCTGATAACTCCGCAGACCTCTGGACACCCTCTAAGATGCTCCAAGAGACCTTTCTCCCTCCCTGTTGCCGATGTCAGAGTCTAGATTTAAAGCCATAGAGCTTTAGGCCATCCAGGAGGACTGATGGATGGAGGGGACATCCTTTTCCTTTTCATTGGAATTGGGTGGTAGGGACCTATGGTTCTTTGGCTTGGAGGTGAGGAAGGGGGATGAAAAGCCTCAGGCTAGAATTAGTCCATTGTTATTTGGCAATAATCCACTGTTTTTATAGATTATGTTTGCTTTGTATTTTACAGTTTTTACAGTTTACAAAATGTGTTTACCATATTGAGCTCTTTTAACCCAAACAACAGCACCTTCGAGGGAAGGTTATTAACTTCATTTTGTAGCGGAGATTCAGTAGCTAACCCAAGGTCACCCAAGGTCACCCACGGCTGGGAGTAGGGGTGCCCGAGCTCAAACCCAGGTCTGGCTCCACAGCCACACCCTGTCAACACCCAGAACACTGACAGATGGAAATGTGCACGGAAGGAAGAGAGCAAACGCTTGAATGACTCCCCCCCATGAGAGACGGGGGGGGGGGGGTGTAAAGATGGATAATGCTTCGTTTCTAAGAAATTGCAAGTAACTCTGCCCCCTCTGCCCTCTCCTCACACCCAAAGCAATGCCACAACCTCGTCAGGCCAGGTTGTTGTCAGCTGCTGGGGAGTCAGCGCCCCCTCATGGCCACCCGAGCACAGCAGGACAAACTGACCAATCCAGTGCCGTCAGTCCCTGTGGTCAGGAGCAAGACTGAGCCCTTGTGGTCCATGGGGTTTACAGGGGCTGATCCTCAGAAGTAGATCCCCAGGCGTTTCTTCCGTGCCTTTTTTAGCCGGAAGCTCCTCTGAAGCCTGTCAGCATCACAGCCACAGGGTCCACAGCATCACAGATGGGGGCATGGCTTCCTGGGAGGCACCCTAGCCAGGAACCGAACCCAGGTCTCCTTCCTGGAGCAAGATGCATCGATTGCTGGTTTTAAAAATACTGAATTAGTTTCCAGAGGTGTCAGCAATCCTTTGAGAAACAACAAAAGAGGGGAGCCCTCGGAGTGTACTTGGAGGGCCTGGACTGTGGGTCTTTTTGTAAACCATTCCATAAAAGCCCTGACTTTGAATTCATACCACCAAGGAGATGTCTGATTGTTTCCTGGAAATGCTAAGAATGCAGGGCTCATAAATACTAATGAAACTATATAGATTAGCAGAGCTCCGCAAATAACCTGGGGGCCTAGATGAGAATTGTTAGATGAAAACAATTTTTAAAGAAGACCGTTCCATCCGCTTTCCCCTGCCTGGCTCCTAACCGTTAATGCATGTTCTCTTCGGCTGTGCAGAGAGCAGACTCAGATGGGCACCTTTAGGAATCCAGAGCGAATGATGGAGTTAGCGTCAGCATGAAAAGCAGCCTCCTCTTTCAAAGGCTAGTGTGGGTGCCACGGGACAGAGGAGTTGGAGACAAAGGTTGAGAGGCGTAGGAGGGCCTGGGACATGGAGATCAACCTGTAACTCGAATGCTTGTGTCTGTCTCAGCCAGCCCGGCAGCCTGCTTTGGAATATACTTGTGAGATTTGTCCTTTCCAACACGATCCCTCATAACAGTGGCAGGAGGTGCTGGGCTATCAGTGGCCACGGTAAATCTCCACACCCTGCATGGTATATAGCAGGTGCTCAGTAAACACTTGGTACGTGGGTGAGCACCACTTCAGACATCTTACTAAGCTTTTCAGGTCCTGTTAGCTCTTCCTAAAGAGCAACGCTGGGCAAAACCTTCTATTCATAAAGCCCCCAAAAACACACAACCCCTGGCCACAAGCTTCCCCTCTATTTTGCTTTCACACCTCTCCTCTCCCACCCTGCACCCCACTCTCACCAGAGGACTCCCTGCTCCCATGAATTTTCTAGAAGTTTCTCTGCCCGGAAGATGGGAACATCCTTTTCTACATGAAATTTACTTGGTTTTGTTTCATGTTGTTCTTGCCCTCCCTCCACCCCTCTCTGTTACACTCTCAAAATAATGCTCATCTTTCAAAGTCCCCCTCAAGGAACCCCAGCCCATGAAACCTGCTCTGGAAGTCTCCAAGTGCCTGATGGGCTTCCTCTGTCTCCCTGAGTGACCTCACAGGAGGGCCCCATGGAGACCAGTGCAGCACCTGGCATGCTGTAGTTTGCCAACCATGGTGATGGTGATGGTGCTGATGCTGGTGCTGGTGGTGAATGGAAACCACAGAAATCCTGTGCTGGAGGCATTTGGTCCAGGAAAGCTTAAGTGTAGATCGAAAGAAGGCCCTTTCCATATGCTGAGTTCAAGTTAGGAGCAGGGAGACCCCTAGGGGCCTCAGCCCAGTTGTTCCCAGCTCCATCACTGAGCAGCCCACTGAGAAGGAAGGGGTGAGAAAACAGGCATGGAAGGGGAGTTGTGGGGAGGCAGAAAGCTGAGGTGAGGCTGATCGGGAAAGGGACAACAAACCCAGGGACAGGCTTCAGGCATCAGAAGGCCCAAAGCAAGCAACCATTTCAATGCACTCAAGGGGGGTCAGAATGGAGACCCAAAGCCCATCTGTAAACAATTAGACATCCCCTCACAGAAGAGTCACAAGGAAAGATGAGCCAGTCAGGGTGCAGTATAGCACCATCGAAACACACAACATTCCTCTAGTTCTTTAGTACTTCCTCCTCCCCACTATGGTGACCCCTGTTCTGTCTTACAAATCCACCTAGACCAGAATAGGTACACTGGTACAGAGAAGAGCTCTTGACACACAGAATCCAGGACAGATAAACGCCTCAGGACCAATAATGAGAGTAGTGATACCATGAAGGTAGGGGGAAGGTGGGAGGGAGGAGAAAGGAGAACCGATTGCAATGATGGACATACAACACCCGGGGATGAACAACAGACACTGGGGTGAAGGGAGACAGCAGACAGTGTAAAATATGAAAATAATTTATAAATTATCGAGGGTTCATGAAGGTGGTGCAGGGAGGGAGGGGAAAAAAGAGGAGCTGATACAAAGGGCTCAAGTAGATAGAAAACGTTTTGGAAATGATGATGGCAACAGTGTACAAATGTGCTTGATACAGTTGATGCATGGATGGTGCTAAGAGCTGTAAGAGCCCCCAATAAAATGATTTATTAAAATTTTTTTAAATTAAAAAGTGGCATCCCCTGATTCTTTCAGGCTCAGGAGGAGAGGAATCCCAGGCGGCCTTGCCAAAGCTCTGTGGGTCCTCTCAGGGTGCAAGGGAGGAGGCAGGAGTGGGGAAGAAAGTATGAAGTCCGTAAGGAAGGCCGGAGCAGGGCGAATGAGGATGACCTCTTAGCCTAGGGGAGGGCCAGGCCTCCTTCCAAAGACAGCGAGGCGCTCCATCTGTGGCTAGGCTTTACACAGTGTTAATGGCCAGTTGGCTTCACCGGAGTGTGGGTGGGAAGCAGGTGTTCCACACCTGTCAGGTGAACTCTGGTACTGAAGTTTGAGGACTGTTAATGTAGAACATCCAGGGACTAGCTACACATATTATTTCATTATCCAGAAATTACTGAGCACCTACTAGGTGCCGGATTAGGTATACGACTAACTGTATAACCAGAGCCTAATGTAGTGTGTGTGCATGCGAGAGTGTCTGTGTGTGTAATCCATTAAAGCTTATTGACTAGATACATTTATCCTGTTTATTGAGCTTAGTACAATATTAGTGAACTCCATGAAAATCTTTAATTCCGTTCCCCTTTCCTAAGCCTAAAATCCATAATGTTGCTAAGCTTTATAAACCATTCCCACTGCATTTCCCTTGAATTGTCTGCTTTGGTCTCTGCAGGAATTATCAGTGGCGTGCCCAAGCCCAGAGCCAGAAGAGGAATACAGTACGAGTGGTCAACGCTGTGCCCTTCTGAGCCCAGAACGTGCTCGTGAGCTGAGAAGGTCCCCGGGCTCGACGCTAGCCAAACACCATGGAGAAAATCAGCTCCTTCTTCGCCTCCATCTGGGACACCATCTCTACCAAACACCAACAGGGTGTCTTCAACACCATCTGCCTGGCAGTCCTCCTGGGGCTGCCGCTGCTGGTGATCCTCACCCTCCTCTTCATTTGTTGCCATTGCTGCTGGCACCGCGTGGGCAAGAGAGGCCAGCAGCCGGAGCGGAACAAGAGGAAGAGGAAGAAGAAGGATGAAGAAGACCTCTGGATCTCAACGCAACCCAAGCTGCTCCAGATGGAGAAGAGACCCTCACTGCCTGTCTAGGTGGAGGCTCCGCCTCGTTCCAACCACACAGGCTTGAAGCGAGAATCCGGGAGTGACGCCCTCATGCCCGCCCACAGAGTAACTGCGAAGTCAAGAAGCCAGCTTCAGACGGAGTGGCACTCCCAGGGGAGCGCATGAACCATCTTGGACACTGTCTTGGCAGCTATGATAGCCATGCTCTTTGCTGCACTTCTAGCCTTCCACCCTGCCCTGGCACACCCTGTGCACTAAAGCATGGGGACCACCGATCCTCGGGTCTCGTGAGGGTTCCTTGTGTGTGTCCGCGCCCACACGCCTCCTAGCAATAGGTGCCATCCAAGTATGTTCTGTTCGCCAAAAGGTCACTGAGGGTCCCTTGGTCTGCTCTGTGCAAGGCACTGTGTGAAGTCTCCTGTGTGTACAGATCTTGTCAGGGGACAGCTTGGCCAAGTCCAGGCACATCAGCACAGTGATAAGAGCAGGCGAGGCCTCTGTGCACTGTCAGTTCTGTGTACCACTCAGGGTAGAGATGTGTGCCTTCCGGTTATATGCCGACAGAACCTTTTACTAGGAAAAACAAAAAACCTCATCTGTGGACTTTCAAGCAACCTGGTACAGTCTCCCCACCCCTGTGTATATTTATATAGACACCCAAAGCCCCTGGTCTAGTCTCCCCACCCCCTCACTTGTGCCAAAAAGCTTAAAGCCTGATAGATCAAAATGAACTGAAAGCTATTTTTCTTGCAACTCATGACCAGGTTCTAACGATCCCTGGGATCTAACTAACGTGGTCCAGAGCCTCGCTTTGAGATGCTATCCCCGGCACTCAGCCTGGAGAGGCGCCTTCTCCAAGCGAAAGCTTCTGGTGCTCGGAAGCTATGAAAGCTACTCGTTGGCTTCCATGGGCGGCAGTTGTGCACTGGCGCCGTGTGTGTTTTGTGGATGGAAAAGATCAGAAGGCGCTACACCTGAGCTAGGTGTCTCCTGTATGATCAAAGGTTTCAAGGGGGACGGGACTAAGGTAACTACTGAGAGACTCACAGAAGGCACATGGGAAACTGTCTCCTAATGCTATAGTGGGTGTGTCGTACGTCATAGGTGAGATGCAGGCATAACAGAGCAGAAGCGAAAGTTACGTGGAAGTCTGGTGGTATTTGGCTTGACCCTCGGGCCGATGCTTTGCACTTAGTAGGTACTCAGAACTGTCTATGGAGCCTGTTGGGCATGTGATGATGTCAGAGGTAAACGTGTATGACCTCACCCGTTCCCCCCCCCACACCACGACCTTCTTTTCTCAGTGAGCCCATGAATTGCTGCAGTGGATGAGAGTCAGGCATTATATTTTGCAAATGCGCACCTGCAGAAGCCAGGTTCAAGTTGGCACTCAAGGTGGGCTGCGGTACTCCAGGGCCTAAAGCAGGCTTGCCTTGAGGCGAGGAGTGCATGTCCCACTCTGGACTGAGGTTGGGAGGCAGAGTTTCTCTGCTTACAGAGTGAGCTGGTTGGTATTGTGACTGTTGACAAGATTATAAAGATGGACAATCCCCAACTTGGGAGCAATTTGTGCTCAAAAAGTTCACTTGCAAATCTGCTGGGTCATTCTCCTGAACGATTTCCTCATGGAAGCTGTTATTAAATGGTTGGCTAAGTAGATATTTAATTAACCATATAGCTAACCTATGGTATTTATAGTAACCAAAATTGTTGTGTGAGATCGTGCTCATGGAGAGATGCATTGTGTTTTTCTCACCTGGACCACCTGCCGTCCAGGTGAGCTCCAGGCCTGCAGAGGGTGGGCACATGGTGATGGTGGGTACAACAGGGTCTTCCAACAGATGACCCTGTGAGAAAGAGGCCTGTACCAATCTTAGATTCAAGGGGCCCTAAGTTCCCTGGACAGTTGGGTCCCATAGCCCTAGACCCCTTTGAAGAAAGCACTCTCTGACTCTGCACCTTTGTCACATCGCGTTGTCACATCAGAGGATGGCTTGTCACCGCCCACACCAAAAGCACACACCTCTGCCCTCTGCCGATGCCCACCAGGAGGAGTTGTCCTCTTGTGCCCAGGCCTCAGTCCCCCTCGCCAACAGATGGCTTGGGGGAGGCATGGGTGCCGATCACTGTGTCTAGGAGTCAATTGTGATCTAGGAGTTTGGAGCACCAGCATCAGGGACCACACAAGTCACACTGTTGCCATGACAACGGACTGCTAGATTGAATTAAGCCAGCAGTCAGTTGTCACTGCCATGACAAGGCCTCTGCTCATGGTAATGTCCCCGTTGTCTTCTAATTCAATGGCCTTGCTCTAACCTCCAGACCTGATAGACCCAGAAATTCCCTTGAGTGTGTATTAGCCTGGGACCCAAAAGACCTGGATGGGTCTTCTCTCTTCCCCAGCCTCCCCAACAGCCTTTAGCTGAGCACCTAGAATGGGGCCTGCCTGGCACTTGATGGCCTCTCAGATTTGGTTTGGATAAATGGATGCGTGGGTGGAAGCTCAGGCACTAACTATGCGTGTCCACTGCCTTCTGCCCTGTCAGTCCCGCCCCCCCCCCCCTTGCTTTGTTCTTCTCTTATACCCTCTTCTGTCCACATCACCCCATTCCTTTCCAGTTTCCAATCTCTGCCTCCTCGGGACGAGAGCCTGTCTGGCTCCTCTGGAAGGACCTAAGCTGGTGGGGATCACAAAGAAGACTTGTAGAGAAGGGGCTCCCTAAACCAGCACAGACTTGGGACTGAGCCACCTCCCCACCCCCCCTGCCAGGCCAGAATCTCTTCAGTACGGCTCAGCCACCCTTCACAGACCATATCAGGGAACATCCCCCCTTTGCTCAGTGGGTTAGCTTTGGGTGGGTGGGTGGGGTTATTTTGTGGGGTAGAGAGACTTTCCAAGAAGGAATATAGGTGGTTAAGTTTGCTTAGTATTTGTCAGTATTTCCCCTGTTACATTCATTCACACACACACACACACACACACACACACACATACGAAAGAAAAGTGTATTTAAATAAAGTAAAAAGCCATGCTTGATCTTACTTTCTGGGTCCGGACCTTTACTCTCGCGACGGTAGGGCCTGCCCTCTCTCAGACGCCGACAGCAGAGGGAGTGGCAACTCCCTGGGGAGCACCCAGCTGGCCGGCCCTGAGAGGTCACCCCGCCCCTCTGCCCTGGCCACGGCCTGAAACAGCCTCCGAGGTGCCAGCTGCAGGAGGCCCACGGGTGTTCCCTGGCAGCACTGAGAGAACTTTCCTCTCCATGAGGTCAGTCGATGTCTTCTTAGAGGAAACGGGAAAACAGAAGAAAAAAAAAAGAAAGATATAAAAACAGACCTTGGAGTTAAGTCTACTGCTGGAGAGGGGAGGGCCCCTCGGGCTCTCTGAAACCATGCTCACCTGCCATCCAGGTGAGATGGATGCCGGCTCCTAGCCACCCTATGGGACAGGGCAGAACTGCCCCTGGGGGTTTCTACTCTAGGGCAGTAGAAAGCCTGGTCTTTCCCCTGCCTAGAAGCTGCTGCTCTCCAGCGGCTGACTTCGGGGTCACCTCACCCACTTCACCCCCTTAGCAGGCTTACCCAGTGGCCACTTACGAAACTGGTCACCGTCACACTCACTGCCTAGACGCTGATTCTGACTCATCGCCACCCTTTAGAACCGAGTGGCACTGCCCCTGTGGGTTTCCCAGATGAACTCCTGGTAGAAGCAGACCCAGCGGTTCTCAGACCCACAACACCACCAGGCTCTCCTCGCAGTGGCCGCTAGGGGCGGACATCGATCCACATACACCTGTGTGCGTATGAAGGCGTCTCCTTGTCCCAATGGGTCTCTTCTGCGGCAGCTGAGCACTGGGTATGAAGTGAATGGCCTTGGCTGCTCCTGCGAGGGCGAGGATGCTGGTTACCCAAGCAGAGGCTGGAGAGTAGCTCTGTGCACTTCAACAGAGAGGGCTGGGGGCTCGGGCTGTGCCTCCACCATCCCGTGTGGTACATCCCCCAGATGCATTAACAGAGCTAGTTAATGCGAGCTAAATCTGACAAAGTCCAGTGGCTCTGTTATGCCCCGGGGCAGGGGTTTCAGAGCCATTTGTGGCTACTGGCTACCACACCACACGAAACAGGTCTGGAAGCTTATGGGTTGGGAGGTTCAAACACTCTTTAGTGAGCTGGGACCAGGGTGTAAGGAGTCCCTGGAGGGTGCAAACAGTTAACACGCTGAGAGGCGTATGGCTATCCACACTCTTTGGGAAAGCAGCCACCAAATGCTCTATGGAGCAGACTTCTCTGGCACCAGGGCTGCCCAGACTCAGAGCAAGATGGTAGCAGGGGGATTGGCCAGGACGGGAAGGAGAGCTGACAGCACAAACCCACCCCCAGGCAGGCGGCTATTGCCATCATTTCCTTTTATTCCTGCGCTCCCTTCCCCATCACCATACATGTGGCCAGCGGGTGGAGACTCTTCATTCCGCTTCATCCAGTGTATTCCTCCAAGGCATTCCAAAACCGTCCAGTAAGGAGGAGGAAGCTCTGCCTAGGAAAGCACCGGGGAAGAGCAGCTGCCACACACCTGACTGGAAGCCAGGGCTCAGCGCCATCAACCCCACCTGCCCGGACTCCACCTGCGCGTGGGGTGTGAACATGGACTCAGCTGTGCTGGCCCCGTGGCCTACTACTCTTTGTATTATTACAAGGTCAAAGCCATAGGATTCAAACAGTCTTTCAGCACAACTTTCTGTCTCTTTGGCTCAGAGGGATGTTTTCAAACCCCAGGGCAACCCCCTCGCCCTCCAGAGATGCTTTGCTCAGGAAAAGCGCTACCCTTGCCTAGACCCTTTAGAAGTTGTTCCTCCCACGAACATTTTTAACTGCCTACTACATGCAAACAACATACCATGGACTGCCCAAAGAACAAACAGATCTGTCCTGGAAGGAGTACAGCCAGAACGCTCCTGAGAGGCAAGGGTGGGCGAGGCGGCATCTCATGGACTTTGGGCATGTCAGGGGAGAAGAGTCCCTGGAGAAGGACATTGTGCTCGGTAACGTGGAGGGGACAG